TGGCCCACCACCAAAACCTTGACACAGGGGAACACGCGCAAACCCTGTGCCTTGGTGAGAGCCTTAGTTCTCGTCTTAGGCAAATGGGAGACGGATCGTAAGCTTGGGCAACCCAAAGAACACTCAGCATACCGCCCAAAAATTTTCGACCAGAGATGTATCGTCCTTTTCAGCTAGCCGAAGATGTAGCCAAAGGAAAGAGGGTCAAGTGAATGCTGACGCCGCCAAACAAGGCTGGCTCAAGTGATTCCCCCGTTTCGGATCTTTTTGCAGACCGCTCTTCAGATGGAGACTCCCCCTGCCTCCAATCCGAGCACATCGACAGAGAGCGAAGCCACCGTGAACTGCCAGCTCGCGCTCACTACCATGGCAGGTAATGAAGTCACTGTTTCAACCAACATTGCTCAGTTCGACAGGTTTGACGAATTTGAAGAACACATAGTCGACTACTTGGCCACTGTCTCTGACTTGGATGTCTTTTGGTAGTGAATTGGACTTTATCCACCCAATCACGCAGGAGTGTCTGCAGGATCGAGTCTGGGACGCCCTGCAAGAGAATAAGCACTTCACCCTAGTCCTTCGAGAGTGCGTGGAAATCTTCCAAACCAAAGAGGGCTTTGAAAATTGTGCATATCGGGATCATCCAAAAGCAGTCAAAGTCCCGGCCAGTGAAGCAGGGATCATCCTGCCTAGTGCCTTCCTTGCAGTTCCTCGACTACGTCATGTCGTCGTCGAAGAAGGCATTCACGCTTGCCTGGCAAAATTGTCGCCAATTAAGAATTGTCAAGCTGCCAATCACAGTAGTACGCATTGAAGAAAGCGCTTTTCGAGGCTGTCATTGGCTAAATAGCATAACTGCGCCAGGCTGCACGGATTTCGGCAATATGCTTACGCCAGTGCAGGAGTTAATACCTTTAATGGTATGACTAATTAGGCATTAACCTAGCCGCAACAACGATAATGCAAGCAGAGCTCGAACCGCAGTCAGCGACACCAGTCTTGCGTCGAGAGATACCAACGGGGTGCTTTTGTCCCTCGGGATTGAGTGACCTCAAGCTACCCCCAGACTTCAATAGACTAGGAGCTCATGCCTTTGACAATTGTAAGCTTCTGGACATATCCGACACAACCATACTATAGATGTGAGAGTTTACATTTGCGAACTGCGTGCTGCTCCAGAGAGTCATGCTCCCATATACGCTCCACACTATCCATTCGAAAGCATTTATGAGTTATGCCGCTTTGCAAGAGCTAGCCATCCCACCATCACTTCATTACATTGGCCTGCAAAGCCTTCTTGGATTGCACAGTCTTGAGAGGGCTTACGCGAATGCCAGGCAAAAGAAATACATGGAGAGGGACCTATGCCGAGGAAACGGCCTTTGCACTTTGTCCGAGATGGCGCCTGCCACAGTGGCTTCACCTTATTCCCGATCTGGGATACGTGTCGGACTTGGCCTGAGTCCAAATAAGCCACATCGTAGATGCCATGTAGAAGGAGCATTACACCAATGCAGTCCGACTGCCCTCTCCAACCATACAAAGGAGAGAAGAGCTAGTCAGGTGTCGTCACTACTCAGAGACCAACATGTCCACATCTATACATCCCAGTGAGCTGACACAGGCGAGAACCTTAGTTCTCGACCTGTAGCGGCACGCGCCGGTAGAATAGACAGTTGGAACCGAGGCGAGAACCTTAGTTCTTGGCCTGAGCGTGGGTCCGTACCCTGCCAACCTTGTACAAAATGGGCAAACAACACCACACTAGCTGTACCTAGTCTCACCATGTTTCACTAGGGCCTTGCGTGATGTAGGCGAGTCAGTTGAAGCATCGGATTGCGATCCAACTAGGATAGCGCATTGCACGTTTGCTGTGCTCCTGTAGGCTTAGCTGTTAAGGAGCTTGCTCAAGATGTGCTACACCCGCTCCCCCTTTCGAGGGAGCGACGCCAGGCGCCGCAAGGCGCATTTGAATGCAATGAACTCCATATGCAAACTGCACGCAACAGGCCACAGCCTTCCCTGCTTTCGCAATTGCTTGGAACGATCGTGACCAGGGTACTGCTGTTTTCCAACACCAGATCTTCATTGCTCTTTGACCAACGAGCTTTTGACTTGCTGCACTCATAGGGAACTTCTCAGGCTCTGCTCAATATCAGAAAGCTGCAATCCCACTAGAGCACTTGCGCCAGCAAGTGCTTGTGATTTGGCCTGTCCATACACAGGCCGATCGCGCAAAGCACCTTCGCATATCTTTCGACCACCCTCAATAGCAGCCCTTTTGAATTCGTGGCCCAGGTAGCAAACAGCCGCAGTTCCCGTCTCACCATGTTTCACTTCAGATGTACAGAGCTGAAACGCCGATGTTCTCTTTTGGTGTTTTTGCTTGGTGTTGTGGTTTGTTTGGTGTTTGGGTTTTTGGGTTTCTGGTGTTTTTCACCCTTTTGCGCTTCTTGAGTACGCGGACTTTCAAACCTTAGCAAAGATGACCTGTGCACACCGCACACATGGCGTCTCCACTCGTGCAAAAAAAAGACCCGAACCATTCCAAGATTGCTGTCGACGGGAACGTCAATCTTTGCAAGTCCAGCGTCAACGGTGATTACACCTGTCAGGGACTTGAAGATTGCAACACCGATCAGGTTTGTTGCAGGCGTTGGGATGTTGCTTGAAGTGACAGGATTGAATCCAGAATTGACGCCTGAGAGGTTTGAACAGTTACCGGTGGACCTTGAGAAGACACAGAAGTTTGTTGATCTTCTTGCGCATGAAGGAGAGCCACCATGGTTTTGGGTTGAAGGGAACAAGACATCAAGATGCCCTGCATGTTGTGGAAGTAAGGAGATTGGACATTTTGTCAAGTGTCCGAACAAGAAAAAGAAGTGTCTAGAGCAAGGGTACAAATGTATCGTACCATTGGATTAGGATGAACGGCCAAGGGAAATTGAAATAAGGGACGAGTCATTGTCCGAGCCTCAAGAAGAGCGTGAGAGATCGAAAGTACCAGAGTCAGAGAAAGAGAATGCAAAGAAGAGAAAAACCATTGATGAAGAAGGGGAGTTTCACCCAGAGCATGAGGAGAGAGATAAGAGCGTAGAGAGATTTCCATAGTTTGATGATGTTCCGTTCAAGAGACCACCAGAGACTATTGGTCCGGACGGTAGCCCAGCACCAATGGAAGAGTGATGGCTATGAGCCGACAGAAGTGCCATAAATTTTTGAGGTTCCTGAGTCACCAAAGAGTCCCATGGATCTAGATATCTTCCAAAAGGTACAAAAAGGAAGAAAGAATCGATATCATGATCAATGGGAAGTTGATCTTGACAAGCTTGTGTTGCGTCGAGTTCACCGTCGAGGTCGAAAAATTTTGTTTTCAGCATCTTCACTGCCAATGCCCTAGGAGCCATTGGTAGGTATTCAGAGGACGTATTAGATCGATGCTGTTGATGAAAGGTTGGTTGATGAGATTCCTCGAGATCAGTTTAAATAAGGTTCATGTAGCACGCATGTGATTAGACGGCAAAAAACTTTACCTGTGACGCTGTTCACACCCAACTGTTTAGACTCAGGCATCCTGTCTTGCAGACACTACTTCTACTTCTACTACCACCATTACTACTGCTACTATACTACGACTATACTACTACTACTACTACTTCTACTACTACTACTACTACTTCTACTACTACTACTACTACTACTCCTGCGGCTACGACGACAACGAGACGACTACTCCTACTACTATTATTACTACTACTACTACTTCTCGCTACTACTGCTACTACTACTACTACTACTGTTACTACTACTACTACTGCTACTACTACTACTCGCTACTACTACTACCACTACTACTACGACTACGACTACTACTACTACTACTGCTATCAGTGCCACTGCCACTACCACTTCCATTACCACTACCACCAGCACTGATACCGCTACAACTGCAACTGTGACTACTACATTGCTAGTATTTCTACTTTTGTGTGTAGGAGCCCCTACCGCATCCTAGAAACAAAAGCTGGAACCTTGTGGTGGTTTTTGCACAGGCCCCCTCAAAAGGTGTTGTTATCTCTACCCCTCCTAGAAGCAAAAACTGCAGTCCCGTTGCTGTTTTTTGGACCCCCCTCCAGAACAACGCATCAAAAACACTAAAGAAGGACACACTCAGACTTCAGTGAAACAAATCCAACAAGTCCAGCTGCTTACGAAACCAGCATTCCTTCAAACCTTCAACCGTATCCCAAACCTTGTCCATTTGAAGTTCCAAAGTTGCAACATGTGACAATTATGTTAAACGGCTGTTTTTGTTTGTGCCAACAGCAAGCAAGAGCAGAGCAATAGGGATATTGGTTGAAAACGTATATGGGAAAGTGGGCGCAAGTGGGGGTGGGCTTGGACAAACACGATCTCTTTTAGGCTCATCAAGGCTCAAATGATTGTCATCGATGTCACAACATTGTCATCGGTTTCTTCCTTTTTCGTCGGCCTTGGGCGCCTGGCATTGAGACCACACATCTCTTGCATCTGGAAATTTCTGTTGAATCAGCGGCGTTGTGTCCGGTTCACTGGACGCGTGGGCGAACCAAACCTTTACCCCGGAGGGTTGCACCCGATTCCAGTCTTCCTAAATTGGTTCAACGGAGGAATTTTGCAGTTGCATGCCCAAACATTTTCAATTGTGCTGAAACTTATGCTCTATATACAGTAATGATTCTAATGCTGGGTTGTGTCCGGTGCTGTATCGGACCAAGTTATTTATTCGAAGCAACACTCGCCATGTGCGGTTGGAATTAGCATGGGCCAAAGCAAACTTTGCACTTTACCGAAGAGTTGACATCAGTTTTCCATATGTTCGCCAGACTTTTTTACCTTTTTTTTGGGGCGAATTTCTAAACAACAACGTTCTGCAGATGTATAGCCGAAATTGGACTTGCGGATTTGCCGCCAGCGACCATTTTGAAACCGTCTCAACACAACAGAATCGCAGAGTCAAGAGCAAGGTTATAGACCGGCACGCAAATGTAGTCCTGCCGACCCATGCCGTGGCTATCGGTACCTCTGACTTCATTGCACACCGTTCTCTGTGGTCTATCAGAATGTTGGGTAACATTTGTTATGCATGTTTTCCAATGATTCTCGGCAAGTGACATTGGAATGAAACATGTTTCGGACCTCTTGGTCCTTTTGCTACAAGGTTTAAACCACCATTTCCATGGCCTTTTTTGGGTCATGGCCGTGGTCCGAATCCATTCCTTCCATTCGCTTCCGCAGGTGGACGGCTTCAACTCGGGAGGCCGGAACGGTCGACCACCGGGACATCCGTTTCGGAGAAGGGAGAACACACCCTGAGACCCTGGATGAAACATCTTCCTTAAGGAAGATCATGAACTGCACTGGAGGTGGCTCCAGGCGGTCTTGAAACACAAAAGACGATCTTCTTTCAGGAATGGAATATGCATGCATAGATACGTCCTTCGCAACTGGAATCTACTGGAGTTTATGTTTGATGAGAGATGGAAGAATGGAAGACGGTGTATCTCGTCTACCCTTTGTGGGGTTGGAATAAGTCCAGAACATTTGGCAATCCCTCCGATCTCCACAATCCCTCAGATCAACCCACGTTCTGCCCGCCATGAGACGCAAAGGCCTGACGCACACCTCCAGCAGACCTAGTGAGGAGGTGCGCCCTCTGGCTGCTGAGCAAAAGGTGACAAGGGCTTACTGGGAAAGATCTTGCAGATCACGATGTGTCCAACTGGTTTGTTTGACAGATAGCTGAAAGCTATCGGCTGTAGGTTTCTTGTTAGGGAGGATGTTCCTCCATTGACATGGTGCTTCTTGGCCACAGAGCCCTTGTTTAGAGTCGTGGACGGGCCGTTCCTTTTTCCTGGCAAAGGGCCTCGCATTCGGACTGCTCAGGCCATTTGGGGTCTATCCCCGTTGTTCTTTCTCTTAAACTTTGGAGCGGTTTGTGCCGTGTTTTCTCAGTGTTTGGTCATTCTTTGTGCCAGGTGAAAGAGGTTTGGATGATCTATAATTCAGTAGTGTTGGCGATATCATAACACACACACACACCTACCTACTGTTTCATGCTTCTGATGTGCATCTCTTGCCTGCACTTTTGAAACTGGGGTGTGTCTCTGAGTTAATGGATGGTTGGAAAAACCAATCTGCAGTTCGGCACAGCTGCCAGGGAAAAAATAGATTGTCTTCTCCCGAAGCCTCCCGGCTTCCCCACCCCTTCCCCACGATGTTGAATCTCCAGCTGATCTCCACGTCCAAGAAACCATGTGAACCACAGAAACCGCGGCCCGTGCAGGCATCGGGATCCCCGGCCTTCCTGAAGGCGAATGGGTGGGACCTGTTCGGCAGTGTCGACCGCCAAGTTGAAACAGAATGGGTACGGCGTGTGGGGAAGGAAGATGAAGGAAGACGTCGGATGCATCCCACGTGCAGCTTGTTCTTGTGTCAACCAAACTGGCTGACCCCGCAGACCAACCCAGAGTCAATCTGCAGCTGAAACACCGAGTTCCATTGAGTTTAAATATGGAGTTCTATCGTGTCTCCATCAACCAGGCTCCAACCTTTGCGACAGAGCACGTGATGCACGAGACCCAGCTGCCTGTTTTGGGCTGTTGGGTGCACACCTTCCCAGTAGTCTGGCCCCAAAACAGGGTGATTCTTGAGCTGGTTCACTTCGATCACGATCATTTCCGGAATCATCCCTTGTTTGTGGGGCGTTCCGAAGAAGAACCACTGGCGTGGTCTTCGGATCTTTCAGTGTCTTTCCGACCTCGCCGGCGCCCTCCACGGCCACTGCTTTTGGCCTTCAAGCTTGGCTCTTGGACGGGGAAGAGCCATGCCAGGGCCATGAGCAGAACGTTGGAGCGGAACGTTGGAGTTGTCTTGATATGGTGAAATCAGAAGCGATGGTTGAGTTTACAGTTAAAATAAGACACGTATTGAAACTGCCTCTATTCATTTTAGAGTCCCCCCACAAATACAGGACATACATACACAGACTTGAAGTAGCAATCCCAGAGTCTTCACCTACATGACACTAGACCCAAAAAGACTGCATCTTTGGAACAAGGATGTGTGACTCACCCCGCCAAAGAAAGGACGTTGGTTCCACCACCGTACGTTTTCTCCTCTTCTGTTCCACCGTCGCCCGACGTACGTTTTCTCCTCTTGCGACGTGAGTTTTGGGGGCCATGTCGTCGGGCAATCCCATGGGCTTGTCAGAGATCTCCCACTTTGGAACCTTTCAGCGGGTGGGCGGGAAGGCCGGAGTGTTTTTGTGTGGAGACGGGTTTTGCCCGTGCTTTTCGAAGGAGAACACACACATAGAACAAACCTCATGTGAACTGAAGGAGGCTATCAGGAGGTACGTTTTGGTCTCAATCATCACCTTTCACAGTTCCATGAGGCAATCAATGTTGATGACCAGCGCTTTTGGTGTAAAACCAAGAATCTGTGTGAGTGCAATTGGACCATGCCTGCCACCCGAAAGGAAAAAGTTAGACATCTCCTGACACACAGAGTGACTAAAAAAGAGCCCCCCAAAAATCGCCAGGAGCATCATTTCGCCTCTTTTGTTCCTTCTAGGGTCTGTGATAGCCTGATAGTTTGTTTCTTTCATTTTCTTTCTTTCTTTTTTGTGAGCAAGTCAGTGGGTCAGCCAGCCCCCGAAGTCGGAAGAACATCCACGAAGAATCTTCGTCTTCCGAAACACCGAGACGTGGAAGAGAAACGGAACGAAAGCTCCATCGGTCGTGGGCGAAGAAGAGGCTGGTGGCTTCATCAACAAGAAGTTCTTCCATCCCTCCACGCTGCGAAATCAAGAGAAGCTTTGGAAGGCCCAGACGGAGGATGAGCGTGAGTTTCGGAAGCAACAAGAGCTTCAGAAGCGGCGCGATGAGGAACGGCAGGCCAGCGAGAAAAAGGGAGGTTCCGCTGGTGAAAAGGCGACGTCATGAGTCGTGGGCAGTGGATTTGGGGGGAATGAGGTACTCTTGGCCACTTGTACAATAGCAGGGTTCTTGGGGAGTCTGATCGGGTGGATATTTTTTGTAAAGCGAAATGTCTGCATTGGAGCGGAACCTCTCTGCATGTCTCCATGTCGAGGTGGAAGAGCTACGAAAGCAGATGTATCTTTCAGGCCAGGGGAAGTCCACGGATTTCCTGTCCACAGCAGCGGAGGCCAGTGCTGCCACCAGTCACTTGAACCACAGCGAGAAGGCCGAGTTGAAGCAAGCCATCGCCGAGCAGCAGAAGCGGCGCCTGAAGCTGAAGCGTGCGGCACAAGCACAAGCTGCGGCGGCGGAGAAGGCGGAGAAGGCTGAAGAGGGCAGTGATGAGGAAGAAGGGATGCCCTCCTCAGCAAGTCCAGTAGACCGAAGCTTTGCGAAGTCCAGGCGGGTGATAGAAGTGGCCCTCGGCCAAAGGCTTCGATGCGAACATGACGATCGAATCCGAAGAAAATAAAGAAACGGTTCTATTTTTCTAAATGTGTCCTACATCCCCACGATCCCGATCCATTTGTTCCGGACCAAGGCGGAGGAAGAAAAAAAACATCTCCGACGACCGCAGGAAGTCGCAACGACCGCAGGAAGTCTGTTGACCGTCTTTCATCCCACCGGCACCACCGGGACGTGGGAGGGGAGGGGGTTGGTGCGACATCTTTCCAGGTATCCGGAGGACGTCATGGAAAACGAGCACAGCACGGTATGGGGCTCATGGTACTCGCGTGAGGAGGAACGTTGGGGCTTCCGATGTTGCAAGCTGCTGTCGCGCGGGGAGGTTTGCCCTGAGGGACCCAAGGAGCCTGAGAAGGAGGTGGTGAAGGACTGGGAGGATTGATCGAAACGTATCGGGACTGGCTGATGGCGTCAGGGTTCACATGTCCATCTTCAATTTCTTGCTTTTTCCAGATTGTTTTGTAGCAACTCTGCATTTAGAAAGGATTTGTCTTGGTCCAGCAAGGGGCGTTTGGATTTTTTCACCGCTGGTGGTTCACATGATTGATTACAAAGGTTGGTGCAACTGAAAAGGAGAGGGTTCTTCTTGGTGTCAAAAGTTCATGCAGTGAGGGAAAGTCTCCGAGTAGTGAGATCCCACAAACCACCTGGTTCGAAGGGTCTTTCGGACTGTCGTGCTGCCTTGCGACCCTTCGGACTGAACACGGGCCTTTCACGGGCAGAAAGAAAAACCCCGCCGAACAGGATGGGCGCCGAAAAAGGAAAGAAGAGGTACAAGAGAGTGGAGCCTCTTCTAGCTCAAAGCCTGAAGCTCCACCTCCTGTGATTGATCCCGAGTCGCTTCTGGACACGAGGATGTTGGAGGCCGCCGCCAAGCGGCGCCGGGTGAAGAGTTTTCAAGAGCTCAAGGAGCTCAATAAGAAGTCCGAAACCAAGGAGAGCGATTACTTGGAGGAGCTCTTACAGGAGCCCTCTTAGGATCTTCCAGTGGTCGCAGAGATCATTTTGGCCCGACGAGAAAAGGGATACCATGTTGTGCGGAGGTGTGTCGAGCTGGGTGAGTAGAGGATTAGTGATTAGTGAGACTTCTCTCCAGCTGCACGGAGAATCTACAAACAGGTAATTGCTGGACTCGCATGCCCCTTTCATGATGTGATGAAAAGGACTCGCAGCGACTGGGTCCTCGCCAAACAGGGGCAGGGTCTCTGTGGGTCTCTCTCACAGATCTTCGGTGCCTGAGGCATCCATCCGAATCACGAGGTGGGATCCAGAAGGTTGCGCATGAGCCCCAAACCGATCGCGACCATCGCCCGAACTCAGCCCTGTCAGGAGTTGTGTGTTTACAGTAGACCCTTGACCCTTGCCTGAGCATTTGCTTGTGGACCGAGAAATACGGCAAACACTTCCATGACTGGTGTTGGTTTGCCGTCGTTGTCTTCCAGGCCGCAGCATGGAAGCTTCGATTCGATCCAGCAGACGGGGCCCCGGCCCTCGTAGCGTTGCCCGAGATGCTCCGTTCGTAGCCTCTTGTTCCGTTCGTAGCGTCCTTGCTCCTACCCCCCAAAGAGCACGTGGTTTGAGACATGCCACAGAGAGAGCCTCCTAGTAGCGATGCCAGGACTAGTAGCGTCCCTTGCTCCTAGTAGCGATGCCAGGAGCCCCTAGGACATCGTTTTTCTTCTTTGCCGATGGGCAGTTTGTGTTTTGAGGTTTTAGCGTCGCGGCTCGAAGAACAGAGTTGAACCCTCTTTCAGTGCGCACATTGAACACCTATTGCTGTGTGGTTTCCATATGTTTCCATCTATTCTGAAATCTCAGTATGTTCCAAGAACTACCTTGGGTTTGTTTCGGAGATAGCTATCTCCAAAACCCGAAAAGATCAGAAAGGACACATTTTGCGGGTTCCAATGAAGGGGATCCAATTTGTTTTTCAATCGGTGAACGTCCAAGCGAGCCAAACCCTCAAAAGGGTCTTCCTGTTTTTTGAACCAGTTCATGTAGGGTGTATGCCATTAATTGTACTGTAACCGTCGTAATTATCAAAAAGAAACAGTCTTTTTGGGGTCTTGAGCTAACCTGCAAGCTCACCTAGCGGAAAGTCCGTGAAACCTGGAGGTCATTGGGGAGTACCCCTTCCTTCTGTGCCTTCTGTGCCTTCCCAAAGTAAAGGACCTCTCCTTAGGTCCTAGCCTCCCGGCGACTCTGGGCGATGTCTGGCAGAGGTGGGATGGAGACGGCGACTCTGGGCGATCGCTCGATGGATTGGTCAGGAACCTCCCAGGACATCAACTGCGACCAATCAACCAGAATCTGCCGAGTCGAAATACGTATGTTCAGGAAATTGCTGGGAAAGAGGTTCACTTCTTCTTCTTCTTCTTCTCATGCCTATTTGAGTGATTGCTGATGCAGTGCCCGGGCGAAGGGCACGGGGTGAAACACTTCCCCTTCTAGTACTGAAACACTTCCCGATCCGATCGCCACAGGGGTGGATGCAGATGTCTGAGTTCGTTTGTGAACAAGTATATACGGACAGATTTCTTGCCCCGAACGGACTGAATGAGATCCATCAACGATGATACGCTGGGGTCGGATGATGGATGGTGATGCGGCTTGGACATCGGGAATTTCAACGAAACGCTACAATATGCAACCTTGTGATGCCCACCAGCTGGGTCCCAACGTGCGCTGAAAATGTGGTTCGTTTCTGGGTTCCAACTTGGCCCTTTTTGACCTTGGAGCTTCTTCGAAGTCTATTCTTTGGGTTCGGAAGAACAGAACTTTTCTATCAAGCAACAGATATATAGCCGAAGTACTACTTCTGACTTCAAGCGGAGAAGGCAAAAGCTCCAAGCGTTTGTCAAGCACACTGTTCAAGGCTCTAACATGCCCATGGTATCCCATGGTGCCTTTCAAGTTGTGATCCGGCCAGGTCTGTTACTCCACCAGCGCGGTAGCCCAGCTACGCTACCGAGCCCAGTTACGCCCGGCTATATGGCATTGATCACTATATTCCACACACTGCCAGCCCAACATGAACCGAACATATTCTTTGATAGAATGTTCGCCTCTCCCGTTCTTTTCTCGACATGGCGCTTGTGGGCTCTTAAACTTCGAACTTGCTATACAGTTGGCGCCCGCCGTTCAAGTCTGTGAACCCAAGGGCTCTGTGCCCGTGGCCATGCCCGCCGTGCAGGTGCGTGGTAGACGCGGGGAGAACGGTTCTTCTTCTACTGGGACGGTGGTGGGCTTGTTGATTGGAGTCGGTTGGGTGGGGCCTTTGGGGGTGAGAAACCTGAAGTAAGGCAGCCATTTACACTTCTCAAAGGCCTTGATGACTCAAAAGCCCGGAGCCCGGTTGACCCTGGTAGGTGGACCCACGCGTTTGGAGTCCATTACGGTGGACATTGATTCCTGGAGGCTCCAATGGATCGTCACTGCTCTAGGTGAGAAGTGTACTGTGGCTCTTTTGCCAACAAGGTTTAGCAACAAGGTTTGGCAAGGTTTGAACACGTGGAGAAGCCCGACGCTTTGGGATGCCAACAGCACCAGAGCCCTTTGAGCTGACAGGTCCACAGCACCAGAGCCCTTTGAGCTGACAGGTTTGCTTTATAGTGGTAGTGGGAGCAATCCGACAGCCGTGTGAGGGTGGTGTGCCGGCCATGCAGATCGTACAGCAGCTCGGCGAAGGGATGTCGGCGAAGTGATGTTTTCTTCAACTGGTTGGCTGGTGGTGTGGGCAAGCCGGTGAGCAACATAATCACGGTGTTGATCCAAGACATGACTAAGTCATGGGCAGTGCATCATAGGCATTCCTTGAGTTCAAGCACAACATCTGACCAGACAATACCGGACATTGGCTTCATGACCAACAAAAACCATGACTTAGACCCTACAGCAAAAGGCCGTTGGTCCATTTGGTGCATTTGGCACTCCACCCATGTCTACTTCAAGGGACATGTATTTTCTTGAGCTTTTCAAAGCGTTTCTTCATGCTCACGTTCGTGGTCGACCCGTTGACTGCACTCAGGCCTGGCCCTATGTTGCCATCACCCAGTTGGATGCAGGCGCCCGTCTTGTTGATCGGATGCCCGTCGGTGTCTCGGTCGAAGTGGCTTGCGGCTGTTCCTGCACAAGGGTCATTCAGAGAGAGAGAGAGAGAGAGAGAGATGCGGCCAGGGTTCACCACTTTGGAGGGGACTCCACCCCCCGCGTCAACGGACGCCACGTTCGTCTCCGTTTCCAAAGCACGATGGTGACCTTCATTTGCTCGGAGACGACACCGTGGCACACCGTGGCACACCGTGGCACACCGTGGCACACCGTGGCACGGTTTTGATGTGTGCTTCCATCAAAAACCGCTGGCCGCTGGTCCAGGCGTCTGCGACGTTGCTGCCTCCCTGGTTCGAGCCAGGCGCTGTCCCATGGCCAAGTTGAAAGTTGACACCTAGACGATCACCACAGCTATATGCATGAGCAACTGTCTCTGTGAATTTGCTCTTGTGGGGTGATACTTGCTGAGCATTGGGATGTTCAGGGACCAGCTGGATAATTGAGTTGTTTTTTTTTACCCATTTTGTCCCGTGTCTATGATTCTTTTGCGCATGGCATGAGGCATGTAGCAAGGGTTAGTCTCAAAGGGGGATACGCCATGGATTTTGATGTGGACTTTGCTGAGCATTTGTGCATTGTAGTGTTCCTTTCTCCAGCGGCATTATTGTGTCCGAATCCAGCGACTTTGGTTCCTTGCTCACTATGACTCCGACTCCTATGTCGAACCCTGCCGGAGTTGCCCTGCCGGCCGCTGGATTTGAGAAAAGCAGGCAGTCCCCGATCAGCAGAACCTGGTGCCTTTGCCACTTGGAGGGGTGGCAGAGCCGGACGGGCCACTGTTTCTGAGTCCAAGTTTTTCACGGGAGTTGGACCTGCCAGCCCTGCCAGCCAAATTTTTCTGTTCCATATGTTGGGGAGAAGGTGAAAAAGAAACAACTAGGGAGAACCCCCATATTGCCTTGAGTATCAAAGGTGGTGCCGGATGGATCTTCTTTGGAAGTGAAGCACATAAAAACAAGAAAGGGCCTTCTTAGCCCCAGCATACCTTCAATTCTTTTACTCGTGCTTTCAGACGGTTTTGGCCAGTTTTTGAAGGTTTGTTTTTTGAGGGGTGTTCAGAAACTCAACCTTATATAAAGTCTTTGGTTTGAAAGACGCGTTGTAGTAGGACTTTGCCACATATTGCGTCAGAATCAGGTCTTCCATGCGCAACCGAGGCAGGGAAAGCAGTCGTTTGTGAGGGCAGGGCTGGAGTGGTTTCCAAACATGTAGAGAGATTTCGGGTGGTTCTTGCGTCTCTGGCTTCCCGTTTCTGCATCCGCCCCCCCACATCTGGGCAGCCAGACTCCCGGATTTGGCCGGAAAACATCACCCGGCTGCCAGGCCTCGGAGCTCCTCTCCGGCACCGTCCGGGCAGGCGCAGCGCCGGTTCTGGGAGAGAAAAAACGAAAGAGAAGAGGATCGGAAGGTTTTACCATGAAAGACAACTTTTCAGGACAAGATCTGTTTTGGGGGTGGATTTTGGGCAGCAACTCTTGCTTTTGGGCTAGGATGCGGGTGATCTGACCAAGGAGCAGAAGGGGGTTTGCTGGAAAACTCGCAGTGGTCTGGAATGGATAGTAGAGCATGTGGAGTAAATTCATTCTTCTGTCGATTACTACGAAGAGGATTTGCTGCTAGTTTCAATTTTCTGAGTCAATTGGTTGTTGATGGCGGAACATACAACTCTTAGGATCAGCAATTGTCTCGCGAGTATTGTTCTTTTCTTTCTTTGCTTAAAAAAGCCATACCTTTTGACGGATTGTCACCGCCCGTGCGATCGCACGGGCGGTTGCCTCATGAGGACATTATGGACCATATCACACAAGCCCAACCACTCCAGGCCCGTTCTCCTCCCTTCAAAGCACTTGGCGCCTTTCGGAGCCCTCCTCCTCCGCCGCGAATGGCTCACGGCTCACGGCTGCACAGTCCGAAGCTCCGCTTCGCGGCCGCATGAAGCTCCGCCGCGCGGTGGCGAAGCTCGCGCGCAAGCGAATGCGCTGGGGTGGCAAGGAAGCCGTGCCTGGGCGGCGGCTGGGTGGCGAGGCTGGAGCGTGGAGCGTGTGTTCGATTTCTTCACCGGAGCCCATGTCCGGGTTTACCTGGTTTCAACGGGTTGACCCCCCGCAAAACCGCTTGAGCCGAGCCATGTCACTTCATGAAGCATGCAGATCCTTCCACACACCATGCCTGGGAGGTGCCGTCCTCAAAGGAACTGGTGCCTGAAAGCCACCCAGTGGAGAACATTTTCACGATCCCCGACACTTTGCGACCTGAGGACCGGGAACGTGTCCGCAACACTTGGTTAAACAGGTTGGGTCCCAGTTGGGTTGATAGATGTAGGGGTGCGTGTTTCGAACATGTTCAGCCGTGCAACACTAAAAGTTCTTTGCAATGCAAAGCTTCGCTTGGCTCCTCTTCTTTGCTTCTCTTAGCTCGATGGCGAGGAAGCTGAAGCACTAATCGCCAAATCGGAGGAGGCTGGCTTTGAGGTGCAGACCAGTCGTGGACCTGCCTATGGGGAGGCACTACGGCACCACTGGCGCATCTCCTTCGATGACCCTCGCTATGCGCAGGCACTCTGGGATTCGGGTCTTGGACAGTGCTTGAAGCAGACGCTGAGAGGGCCTCGAAATCGTCAGCCCATCGGCTTGAATGAGAACATCCGGATCTACAAGTATTCAGGCGAGTGAGGTGAAACATGGTTTTTCCTCGCGAGGGAGAGGTGTTCAGAGGTCTTCACCCATTTTTCCGTGTTTCAGTGACTAGGTGGAGATGTTTTCGGACAACATGTGGACGGCAGCAACCAGACCTCTTTGGGGCAAACCGAGTACACGCTCTTGGTGTATCTCAGTGGCGTGAACGAAGGCTTAGTGGGTGGGGAGACCGTCTTCTATTCCCACCACAAGGAGGTCTTGCGGGTGACGCCCAAGACAGGCATGGCCTTGGTGCATCGGCATGGCCGTGAGTGTCTCTTGCATGAATCCCTGGAGGTGAAGGAGGGCGTGAAGTACGTGCTGCGTTCCGATGTGGTCTTTGGTTAGGCCGAACAGTGCCGCCCGGCAGAGCCCACGTCGCTGGTGAAGCACCGGCAGCGGCGACCTGCCAGGACCGGGTGGAGTGACCTGCCAGGACCGGGTGGTTCGGTGAAGAGGACGAACAAGAGGAGGTCGAACATGAGGTATGGCCCCGCCGCATGAGGTATGGACGGATTGGGATCCAGGAATTGGCAGGACGTTTCACGGCATATCCATTGATTGGCGAGAAAGACACCGAGGCGTTGTTGTGAAAAGAGTCTTCCGCCATCGGGTCTTGCCGCTTGCCTTCTGGGTGCAGTTTCATGGGAGTGTGGAAGATACTTTCTGGGAGCAGAAACACTTTCATCCACTTCAAAGACCCTCCTGGTCCAAGAAAAAGCAGAGCAATGGAAGCTGCATGGGGGCTTTGGCTTTTCTTTCCCAAGGATTTGTTTTCGACATTTCTGAGAGATACTCTCACAGGCGACCGCCCTCGACGAACGCCTTCTGAGCAATAAGAGCATTTCTGAGAGGGTTTTTGGTTCGGTAAGTGCTTCCGCTTCCACTGCGTGTCTGAGGGGGTCTCCCGGGTCTGCCCGCGTCCCGGGTCTGCCCGTGTCTGGTCCTTCTCACCGGCAGTCACAGGCGCTCTGGGCCGCGCCGGTGACTGCTGCGGGCTGAGGAAGGCAGAAGATGCAGCAGATGTCCGGTCCAAGCTCCAACTTTTTGTATGAGTAATTGTTATGTGACTAGCTTCTTGTTTCTAATAGCTTCTTGTTACTACTAGTAAGGCACTTGTTACTAGTAGCGATGCACTTGTTACTACTAGCTTCTTGTTTCTAATTGTTATACTTCTATAGAATTTTCATTTCACTTGAAACAGACAGATTTGTGTCCTGAAGACTTCGGATCTTTTGCTTCGGTCTTCCACGAGTTTCTTCCCTTTTTCTTCTGATCTGAAGGGTTCACCCTTTCGCAAGCGGACAGACCGAAGGGTTCACCGTCAGCCTCCCAGCCTTAGGTCCAGCCTCTCTTCCCAGCGGCCAATCCATGTCATTTGCCTCAGTGGTCATGAAGTCAAGGCGCTTTTTGATGCGGATTTTAAGACAGATGAAGAGATCGAGAGTTCGAGTTTGGATGCTTGCATCATCCAAGGTTTGATATAGCCCTGATACCCCAAGCCTGTTTGTTGCCGAGAAGCAAGGACCAGCGCCAGACCAGCGCACAGAAAAGACATGCCACCAGTGTGGTTGATGGTTTGCAGACACTCTACCACCGAGTTCGCAAACCCTTTGTAAGGGTGTCCTTTTTTGCTTTGCAGCAAGCTTCCCAGCTTTCTTTCCACTGCCGCACTGGGGGTTCCTGAAGCTGCCTCCGACTCCAGACCCGTCGACATGCGGTGAACGTCTCGTCGCGGGACGAGACCATACGAGACCCATAGACGCAACTCATGGAAGTTTTCATCATTTTGAGCTCAAGGTCCCTCAAGCTTTCTCATCTTAGCTTGTCCTTCTCAGACATTTCCGTGGACCCAAAGCATACCCCTCCGCTTGGTGGTCACAGATGAGCCAAATCGTGCAGTTGCAGCAGAACCGCCATGGTGGACCATCCACCCCAAACAGAAGCTTCGGATCCAACGAACAGCTTCCCACCTGAACAGCTCCGAACAGTCTCCCACCGCACCTGAACATGGAGACCCAGTTCATGCCGGAACCGGCTTTTCACGCCTCCGAGGTGAAGCCGCTTCCAGCTCGCCACGGCAGGCGAGGATTGTTCTTGGACGAGCGATGCGGTTTGAGCATATTTTTGTTGGAAGAAACAAGGTCAGCCTGGATTTTTTCCTGGCTTAAGGGCCAAGGCCTGGTGATGAGCCTGGCCTGCATTTCTTTCGTTGACGGTTCATGAACTAGAACGAGGGGTATAGGGCTTCGCTCCCAGCTTTGAGGTTTGCTTGAGGTCAGTCTAACGGACTCATTCAGGTTTGCTTCGATCGCTGGTTTGGTCGATTGCCGGTGTCGGAGGCGCGAGGCATCGATAGAAATGACCGTGACCTTCCCGACCCTTGAGATCGAATGAGGTCACTTAGGTCTGTAAAAGGTCACTTACCAATCCTGAAACGGTTACTGGGAAGGTCCTGGACTGTGAAGATTCGTTTCTTCATGTTAGGACCACAAAGCACATGCACGGGGTTTCTGCGGACACTTGAACACTGGGAGACATCGTTGCATTGGTCATTGGTCTGATGAATGCGAGCGAGGGTGGTTCAAAGATCAGAATCTACGACACGCCTTGGCCTTCTTGAGTGTGACTAAGCCGATGTGTCCCAGGCATGCAGAAGGTTATATAACTCGGAGACACCCTCTCACGACACATGCAACAGAACATCAGATCGCAATTCGTGAATGTATGTATTGACATTTTTGAATAGCAGCCATGGTCCTGAGTTGCATGTGGACCACCTGCAAACAACCACCCCAATTGCCCTTTCTCCCCGCCCCCCTGATTTCTGGCTAGACCCAACCCATTTTGAGAAAGGAGTGACAAAAAGAGAGGTTTTGAGCTTGCCGACAAGCATTCACAGGCACTGATGCGGCCCGTACGGATTGTGCCCCCCGAGATACCTTGTCATGGTAGACAACTTTTTGACAATGTTTGTGTGTGGGCATCGTGCTTCATTGATGGGGTCTAGAGGTTTGTGTGAGAGGAGTACTTAGAGCTGTCAGCCCTACACTCCGGCGGCGGTGGCCTTCTTTTGCCACCCTAATCAAAAGATTGTCCAGAAGGCAGGCGACGGAACCTGAAAAGAGGGCTGGAGGGAAAAGAATATATACACATAAGGTGTGTCCCATTCGCGGTGACAATCGGTATGATGGTCACTCCTTTGGGGAAGGATCTGCAATCTAACCATCATCATCCATTGTTAACTAATTACTGGTACTGGGACATATCCATATCATTTATCCATATCATATCCATTTGGGATCATTTGGGTGCGTTTCAAACGAGGAGCACCGCCAGGATCGTCCAGCATCGATCTGATCCGGAGTTTGATCTCGATTCCAGGTACGGCCGCAATCACCGCGCAGCGCCACACCCCCACGCACCGCGACTCCTTCACAGGTGTGGGAAGACTGTGTGGTGTGGGCGTACATGAGCTCCGTCCCGAAAAGAGTTTCCGCAGTGGAAGCTGATTTCGGTGTGGGCGAATTCAGGTGTAGACGCACATTCTTTGGATGGTGTGACCCAAATAATTCTGATCCTTTTGCGTTTGTTCTGACCCAAAGTTTTCCAACCTCCAGAAGGTCGTTTTGATCGGGGCACGAAGGAACCAGGTGGCAGTTCGAGACTTCTACGCGATTCGTGGTGTTGCGGTTTGATGGCGTGCTGTATAGAAAAACACATATATCTGGAAGCAAGTTCCACAGCAGTCAGGATTTTGGTGGACCATCATTCTGCCTGATGCTGCCCGAACGATGATCAACTATTTGAGAAGGAACTTCTGGTTTGGTGAGTGGACCTCAAATCAAAGTACTTACCTGCAGGCTTGGGAGATTCCTGGAGGTTCCCAATCAGGTGCTTGGCAGGCTTTGTAGTACTTTGTAGCTTCAGAACCAGGGAGAAGGAACGTTTCAGAATTCCCAGCTGTTGGGGGACCATTTCTTGGTTTTTGTCAGGGTCAAGTTTCTTCGTGAGCGTTCGGCCAGGACGAATTGTGGGACGAATCGACTTGTGTTTTTTTACACCGGACATGCGGAGAGTAACAATGGAACATGTTGGGAGGTGGACACTTATTTATAGAATCACCTGTTTTCCAGTTGAAGCGGGAACCAGGTAAGACATCCATTTGAAGAACAAGAAAACGAACACAACTAGACTATACTATATAACCAAAACACGTGAAGCAAGTGAGCCAGCTGCGGACGAAAAAGGAGGTTTCAGAACACCGCCGAACGGCTGTCGATGTTCAATGATTTTCAAAATACAGCGAAGATGGGTCAGCTCACTTTTCTGTGCTAATGGAGCATAGCCGGTATGATTTGTCTTTTTCTTCTCTTTGTGCCACATCCAATGCATTTTCAGTCAGAGAATTGGCTGAAGCCATCTCTGTAACACCCAACCAGGCGGGAAGCAGCGTGGAGCCTCGAAAGCAGGCGAGGTCCGGCTGACCTGGTGATTCCGTTTAAGCAAGCGACCCTTGAGCTTCTTGGGCTACAGTATTGGCTTTGGACTTTTGTTTTTTTTTTTGCATTGTAAACCTTTATTCATCTATTTTTTAAAGTTATTTGCTTATTATGGACTTATCCTTTAGTTTTCTCTTTTCTGGATCACTAGCGGTGCAACTCCATGATCTCGTTGAGGGGAGTGTGGTTGTGTGGGTGTGAGGTTTGTCGGTCTGAGGTTGTGGGGACGTTTCCTTTGTTGTCCCTTCCAATTCCGGAGTCCAGACGGAACCATTCCCTTTCTTGCGACATGCACCATTGAAAACCATAAGCATTACTGTTGAGCATTCTTTGTTTCATTCGCCGCTCATAGCCCTGCCATTTATCCCACCCGGCTGCGTCTGTGCACGCTCAGGCGGCAAAAGATCTTTGCCACACACTGAAGGTTGCCGTCCATCGACAGATGGCCTCGAGCTCAGAGGGCATCGCAGATGATCGGATGGGCTGCGGAGCCTGAACGGTTTTGCCAGGTGAGGTATGAGAGAGGCCTGCTGAAAAGATTATTGATATGATATAGTGAATAGGGCATTCTTGATTTTTGGGGCGCTTTATTTCAGTGATAGGACATCACCAGTCGAAATCCAGAGGACAGAGCCAGTTTGGCCAGACCGACATCCGTTTACCAGGTTCTTAGTTAGTTCTTTGGTTGTAACGCGACCAGCCACTTGAGGCCTCCGCAGATGGCTATTTTCAAACAAAGTCACGGACCACATGGTTCCCCCAAAACCATGGTTCCCCGGTGGTTTGAACCGCCCAACACGATGGATTTCCTGTGGGTTTTCTCTCCCAACTCCTGAGGAATCACTGGGTCACTGACAGAAAACTCATCCACCATGGCACTAAGCCTGTTCCAATTCCTGAGCGGCCAAAAAGAACCTGCCTCATTGCTTCCACTGTTCTTGAGGCTGGGACCTTGGCATGCTGGAGGCAAGCCAAAGAGGTCCCTCAGAGCGGCGAAGCCTCGCGTTGGGGTGGAAAAAACGCCCAAGTTGGTGGACCACCGGACCGGAGAACTGGAACAGACTATTGACTACAAGGGACATGGGTTTTGGAGGTCGGTTTTGACACAAAGAGCGTGTCTCCGGGCTGAGGACCGATGTCGTGTGCCACAACCGGTGGTTTGTAAGGAAGAGCAAGACGCTGGGTTTGCGATTTGCTATGGGTGGCTGTTTCAGGTCATAAACGCATTCTCAAATTCAACAGAACATCGTCTCAAAAGAGACAACTCAAGAAAGGGTTTGTTGTTGTGGGAAGGGTTGAGTTGCTCGATTTTTCCAACCTTTTTTCCAAGCACCTCAGTTCACGATTCCCAGGGCTGTCCAAAAAGAGAATCCCACTGTGGTGAGGTGGGACAAAACCCCGAAGGACGGGATTCGATCATGTTTTGGCTCGAAGCTCTGCGAGGATCGACAGTTGGTTGATGAAAGGGCTGCTGAGCTCCTGTGCCCTGGCTGGCAGTTGGGACTACCTCCCCTCAAAGCAAATCACTGCTGCAAGTCTAATTCCTGATGACTGGATGAATGTTTTGTTGCTTTTCCATACACAGCTTCAGGATGTTTGACACTTCAGATGACAGTAATCAATAAATGGAGTAAAGACACCACACGAATTACATGTGTCAAGCTCTAGATCGTGCAACATAAACCACACTTGTAAGACCTCCATTCGTATCTCCAAAAACGGTCGACTAACTAGGAATGGAAACTAGGATAAGCCATGTCTCATTTGCAGAACAAGTTCAAACGAGTTCTAACGAGTTCCTTCTTCGAACCTCGCAGGGCACGCCTCAACAGCTACGACGAGCGAGCGTACCGCCGCGGCCGGGCGGGAGGGCCCGACGAAAGTTGCTGTGACTGGTGAGGCCTTGGGGGTGGGGTTTGAGGTGTCACCTTGGTGAAAGACCACATGCGGAGGTGGGTGGGCATTTCGGGGTGCCTGTTTCAGAGACAAAGCTGCTTGAGGCTTCTTGACACGAAGATCAAGTTTTGGTTTCCAGAAAGGAGTGGGGAGGGCAGCCAAGAAAAAGTCCAATTTACTGCACGGCACCCACACTCTCATGTCCCTTTTTCTCCGATTATGGATGTGGGTCAAAGTCAGTTGAACAATTTTTTGTTACTGTACAATTTTGTTCAACCCACACATATAAACTAAGTGGTGAAGCGCAGATAGGACAACTTTGGTTCTCTATATATAACTAAAGTGACTATAGTGGTCTCCCTGTTTGAAATGTACACACACACACACACTTGTGCCTACAAACTCAGACCTGCTGAGGTGGCTTCAATCCTAGCCACTGCTGTGGCGGCTGAAGGGCGTCACATCACCAAGCACTGCAGGTTGGCGTGCCGCCGTTCGATCAGCGAGCTTCACACGTTGCCCCTGGACATGCGATGAGGTGCCATCCAGGTGGTGCCTGCCATCGGAGGTGCTCAGCAAGAGCCTCCTCTTTTGGCACTACCGTTTGGGTTGGTCACCTTTGCGGGTCGGAAGGAGAGCGTGGCCTGATACGGGTGAGACCTGTGGTGAGCGTGATGAAGTTTCGTGATCGGGAATGGCTTTGAGATTCTTGAGGTTTGCAACACCTAAATCTTTGCTCCTAGTAGCTTCTTGTTACTAGTAGTAAGGTCAGGAGCACCTAGTAGCGTCCTTGCTCCTAGTAGCGATGCCCTTTGTTCCTAGTAGCTTCTTGTTCCTAAACGTTCCAAAACTGCATCCCAAACGCAGCATTATCGGTCCAGCTCGTAGAGCGGGTGAGCCGTCGTGGGGTGCCGCATTGCCCACTGTCGCTGTCGGGGAGTCCTAGCGATGCGAGCGATGGGTCTAGCGCCCTTCGGTGTTGGAAGTGAGCCATCGATGGGTCTAACAGAATGCCCCAGACCGGACGATCTGAAGGAAGAAATGAAAGCCAGGCCTGGACGATCTGGAATTCCCTTTATTTTCTTTTTTGCACTGTGATCCAAGTCTTCAGCCGACCCGAAGTGGGTTGGGTGCAAGTTTGGCCGATGATTTTTCCCCTTTTTGGATATTGTTATTTCCTGACTTAGCTTTGCCTAGTGGTTTCAGAGTTGCTTCGATCATCTTCAGCTTGGGTCGAATCCGCTGCAAGGGGAGCTGCTTGGCTACAGAGTAGCCAAGGTGGGTCCAAGTCTATGCAGAACGCTAAGCCAACAGCTGGACTGAGTGCGTGAGCACCTGAGTCAAGCAGGATCAGCCGGACCTGTCGATAGAACACCAGCCCCGCAGGTCCCCACCACGTCCCCCGAAACTGCGTTGGCCGAACCTAAGGTGAGTGAGAAAGGTGGGAACCGGGAGTGGCCAGAGCCCTGACCAGGGTGTTCCTTTCGAGATGGGGTGAAGCCTGAAGTTGCTGGGCACGTGTCACTTGTTCAGATTGAATCCTTGCATTTGGAAGCTTTTGAAAGATCAATTGGACTGGAACTTCTGGTTTGCAAAGTTTGCCATTAGGTCTTGTTCCTTTCAAGGGGTCGTGTTTAGCCATGGAGGCACATTTGGGTCTTCTTGGACCCCAGCACTTGAAACCATGGGAGGATTCCAACTTCCATCCAGAGCAGCCCCAAAAACAAGACTCTGCCACCCTGGCACGGCTGGACGTTCTTCAGAAGGTACTCAAATCCTCCAAACCAATCCCAAGCACGTTTTCAGGAAGTGGGAAGCCTCAGAAAGAACACTGGAGTCACTTTCAAAACGAGTCGGTTACACTGGACCTTAGTGATGCACTGGACCTCAAAGGCGTGGCCCACAAGGGCCAAATCCGGTCATCTGATTCAAGATCCCTGGAGGGAGGGTGGATACTGTCCAGCATTACGATGAACGCTGGCAGGCATGACTGCTCCAGGGGGCTTTGGAAAGCCTTCACACGGCGAGGTGCGAAACCGGTGCTGGGAAGACCCGCCGGGCTATTTGGAAGCCGGTGGGTTGTCACTCTTGATAGATTGGTCGGAGAATAGTTGCAGTAGCACTCTCTGATCCCCTTGGCTATTCAACTGTACTTGCAACATCGTGAACCCAAGCTCCAGTTTTATATGCCCACAATTTGGCATTACACCTTAAACATTGCAAACGTCTCTATAGAATCAGGCACGCAAAGGAGACCCCCAAATTCATAGCTTAAAGGTTGGGTCATCATTCTATAGTGGAGGTATCCTATGTCTGAGGGTGGCTCATCCAAATTATGTATCCTAAATCCTCATAGTTGAACACACACATTTTTTGCCAAGATCAGTATATAGGTATCATAGGTGAAACCTTGATTCTACAAATTTGTTCAGCTTGATTCATGTGTCACCACATTATATATCCGGAAACCTGGACATTGAAATTATAGACACCATGCAGTGTATCATAGCTTGAACCTGATTCTATGGATGCACTTTGTCCATGTGGACTAATGTGTTGACAAACTATATATCTATGATTATCTATTTGTATATATATATATATATATCCGAAAACCTGATAGTTGTCCAGTGTTAGTGTTTGATCTTGTATCGTGTATCGTGTCATGACTGCATCCTGCACTTCTTGCTATTTTGAATGTGGTTCACGAGCGACTATGAAATCAAAAGCTCAACCTTCTGATAATTATATGTTTATCTAACTTTGCCGATTCACTTATTTTTTACACTTGAGAACCCTCCTTGATTTCAGGAAGAAGTTGTTTGTTTTCCTTTTCCAGTTTTGCGAAAACAAGCATTTTGGGAACCAAGTTGGCCCAGAGAATCTTGCCACCTGACTGCGCTGGGAAACAAATGAAGCCCAGTTAGGCCAGAGAATCTTGCAATCTTACTGCGCGGAAAAGTATTCGAAGCCCAGTTAGGCCAGAGATTCTTGCCACCTTACTGCTCCAATCTTTTTGGGCATATCTACGCCAGGGAGTCCGGCCACCGTACCAATCTGATTTTTCTAGACCTTCCTCTTCCTTCTAATCTTTCTGTTTCTTTCTCTTTCCCTTTCTCTTTCTCTTTCCCTTTCTCTTTCTCTTCACTCTTTCTCTTCCTCTTTTTCTTTCTCTTTCTTTTTCTCTTTCGCTCTTTATCTTTCTTCTTCCTCTTGAACAAGCGAAACACAAAAGCAAGAGGAAGAGGCCAGTGAAGAAGAAAGCGGAATGGAAAGAGAATAAGCTAGAGAAAGGACAAAGCCAGAGCAAAAAGGGAAGAGGAAGAGGAAGAGGAAGAGGAAGAGGAAGAGGAAGAGGAAG